TCTGAGGAGAGGGCGCAGTCCCTGAGAGACACCGAGGCTCTGAGGAGGCCCGAGCGAGCCGCACCGGCTTGTCTCAGCTCACCCACCCCAGAGCGCGGCTGCCGCCCCCAAGCCTCTCAGTAAAGCCCCGGGGCAACCTGACCAAATCTTCCTCACAGGGCGGGTTGCAGGGTAAAGAGACAGAAAAGGGAGCAGGAAAGCACAGTCTGTGCAATGTCCGGCCAGCACAACCCAGTCATTACAAGCCTGGCCGCGCAGTGCGGAAACGGGGTGGGCTCTAGTCCACGCGCTTCTGCCTTTAGCACAGAGCGGGAAACGGTGGGCGCCACGCACTGCCGGCCCCTCCCACTCCCAAACACAGATGAAGACAGGAGAGCAGACCCAAAATAAAACTGTCCTGAGACGTAAAAGTAAGGGTCTGAACCAGTTAAGATATTTTTCTTAAAAATTAAAAAGTTTGCTGGGCAGTGGTAGCTCACACACCTTTAATCCCAGTGCTCAGGAGGCAGAGGCAGGTGGATTGCTGTGTGTTCGAGGCCAGCCTGGTCTATAGAACAAGTTCCAGGATAGCCAGGGCTACACAGAGAAACCCTGTCCCTAAAAAACAAAACACAAATAGAAACAAAAAGAAAAGAGAAAAGTTAAAAACCCAGTCCGGGCGTGGCAGGACAGCCTGCCACCTCACACTCAGATCACAGGAAGAGGACTGTGAAGACAAGGCCAGCCTGGGCTCCACAAAGAGACCTCAGCTCAGCATGAATAGAGCTGGAGGGATGGTTTAGTGGCTAAGAACACTGGCTGCTCTTCTAGAGGACCTGGGTTCGATTCCTAGCACCCACCTGGGGACTCACAACCATCTGTAACCCCCATCCTGGGGGACCCAACACCGTCTTCTGATGTCCACCACCTGGCACACACACAACGCACAAGCACGCATGCAGGCAAAATGCCCACACACATCAAACAAGTCCAGTCAATCTCAAAATCAGATAAACTGAAAAGACTGCTGATGCTAAGACATTCCGAATGGCAAGGACACACATGGCGGGCTCTGGAGAGAAAGGAGGGCTTCGGCTGCAGGGGTGGCTGGGAAAGACAACAGACCTCAGGGAGGACGGCAGACCACGGGGAGGACAACAGGAGCGATGGGGAGGACAGCAGACCACAGGGAGGACAGGAAACTACAGGGAGGACAGCAGGCCACGGGGAGGACA